AAAAAAACAATTTGCTAGCATTTTCCACCACTAACCAGCCTCCCAAAAAGCTTCCACCAACAGCCTGCCAAAAGCTTTCCAGCCTCCCAAAAGCATCTGAAACCACCCCTTCGCCACGGCTTTAACCCATTGAGTTCTGCTCCAAACGATTGAGTTCTGGCGGATCTATCATTATTCCCTGGCGCGCTCCCCCTTGCGTCGGCCAGGGTCGGCGGATACACAAGAAGAGAGAAGAACAAGAAAGAAGAAAGAGGACAGAGGACAGATGAAAGAGGAAGAGGAAGAGATGGACACAGGGAAGGAGTTTGCGACAAAACTATTTTTATCAAGCGGAATAGTCATATGTTGGTGCAACCATGCAATACAGGATTTGTCACAGGGTTTGCAGATTAGGAAGCTGAGGTTTCTCTTGTTTCAGTTTCATGAAACATATCTATATATATATAAATTTGTAATGTAAGATGATGAAAAGGGTTGCAACTTGCAGCAAATGAGTGTATATAGCAGGGAATTACTGTACATAGAGGGCATTTTTGGGAGAGCGGACATTAACTTTGTTCTGTCACTCTTTTTACTATTAGGGGGAGGCCATCGCTAGTAGGTTGGAGGCTATCGCTCTTAGGTTCGAGGCCATCGCTATTAGGTTCCTTACGTGCCTTATGTTAGGTCACCCTTCTTGCGATCACACTGGACATAGTCCATTTTCATTGGATTCACCCAGGCTGAAAACCCGTGGAGAGCTTCGAAACTTGGATCACTTGCGCAGGGGTCTCCCAGGTGGAAGATCCAGTTTCCAGAAAGTCAGAGCGTGAGGATGTAGTGTTGAAGGATTGTTAATGTGGGGACGAACAGTGCAGGTGTCATGTCAATGTGGATAAACAGAAATGTATCCTTTTGGGGGCCTTCGAGCCAGAGCTCTTGCAATTTCCGAGGCCGACCAGATGGTGAAACCATCATGGATCATGTTTTCGGCGAGGAAGCTTCCACACAACAGGCGGTGTGACTACTCCACAGACCGTGTCAAGGCAGTTTGCTTGCTGTTTTGGCTAATGCCTGGTTGTCAGCAACACAGTTGTCACAAGTGCTTGAGCTTGTGCAGGTCTACGAAGAGGCCTTCAAGAGCATCGTTTTCGGGGCCGCAGAGGCAAGGACTTAGGTAGCAACAAGTAGGTAGGAATTACCTTGAGTGTTGAACACACAAGCACTGCATTACAAATCAGGGCATGAATGGTGCAATCCTTGCTTATGGGCAAACTGCGAGTGGACCTGGACTAAGCCAACTAATCAACTCTGCACTCAGTTGGAATATGAACGAGAGAAAGCTTTCGTCAACGGAAGCACATTGCTGGGCTTAAGACTGAGGAAAGACTTTTTCCATCAGCGGCTCCACCGCATGGGACACAGTATTCAGATGCATGGGACACAAAGGAAGCTGCGTGATTGTCAGAGCCTAGGCTGTAAGTTACGATGGAGAACCCAACAAGGGATGCGAACTCAGACAGCCTTTTTCCTTTTTCACTCGTGCACTGCAAAGTCAATGCAAGGAATATATAATATATGAAAACTTAGGGACTTGGGGGGATTGTCCGGAAGTCTTGACTAAGGGATCATCCATTTTGCACTGGACGATTTGTTTGGGCAGCTCACCAAGAAGGCCTGGAGCTCTCTTGGGTCCCTTTGAGAACCCCCCCCTTTGACAAGGCCTGATAAAAGGGACCCAAACGACTTCCTTTTTCATCGTTTTTGGGTTGGAATGATGTTGTAATGACTGGCGCTGGAAAGGCTGAAGAAGGAAAGGGAATGGAGTATTTGGTGCGAATGCCGTTGTCTTAGGAAGTTGTTCTACAAGTCTCTTCAGCAGAGGGGGCATTCAATGGGTCGAATTCAAGCAGAGACCTTTTTGAAGTCGAAGACACCTTTGCAGGGACCTTTTTGAAGTGTTGAGCTTCTCCAGCACAAGATTGTTCTGCGGGCCGCAATCCTCCGATCTTCATCAAGTCCTCGAACTTTGCTGAGCTGAGGTCCTATTGTGAGTTATACATGGAGCGTGTGACAGACTTAACTTGTGGAGCATTCGGCTCGAACAACGACCCTACCCTGTTAGATCTCTCGCAGGTAGCTTCTGGTGGTTTTGGATTCTGTCAGATTGGTTCAATACAAACAGGAAAGAGGTGCTTCCACGCGTGCTTTGGTGCATCACCCAGGTCAATGACTTGCTGAGAAAGATTGGCCCGCAAAGCGCAAGCCTGAGTTTGCTCTTTGTTAACGCAGTAGGGCTGGGTTTGGTTTGAATGAGTCACAAAGGCGATCTGACAAACTACAACGCATCACGCTGTGTTTTTGGTTGCAGAATATTGGTTGATCAGCACCAACAGTATTTGCAGCATTTCTGCAGCCTTTACAATCATTACTTTCCTTTGAGATGGAACATTGGTTCCATTGGTCGTTCAACCTCTGTTGTAGGACACAAGTTAAGTTTTGAGGGATGTAATTACTTGATTCATTACATCGGTTTTTCGTAGCCTTCCCACAGGCCTTTGTCAAGTGCAGTGCTTTTGTTCTCACCATTCTCTCCTGTTGGTTTGGAACGGTTTGGTGGAGCAATTTCTTCAAAGCAATCCAAATCCCGGTTGCGCACGAGTCGAGGCCAGAACCTAGTGGTAAAAGAGGATCCGGAAGGCGAGGAAATGGGAGTAACGTTTGTTTGATTTGAGAAGGGTAGAAATTAGGGCACCGAAAGTGCCCTAGCATCAGAGTGCTCGAAGATTGATCAGAGTGTGTTAGTTTTTTGACTGGATGGGAGGTCGTGGTTTCTATGCAGATGGTCTGAAAGAGAAGATCGTGTCTTCCGCTGAAGAGGCAGAGTGCTAATGGTTCTTGCATCTAATGTTGAGTGAGTGGGCAGCCTGGCAAAGGAACACATGACATTTGCAAGCGGCAGGTCCTGATGCTTTTTGCAGAAGCCGAGAAACGAAGAAGAGTGGCACATACAAGGTACAATGAGGTGCAAGGGGAGAGGCACTAAGCTAATCTATATACCCTGACATTTCTTCTTTTGCTTGTTGAAAGAACTACGGCTCAGGAGCTCCGTTGACTGTATCGTGAGATCGAGTCAAATTGTATTGTGAGAACGGATTGTGTTACTAGTAGCTTCTTGCTCTTAGTAGTAAGGCAAGCAGCTGCTAGTAGCGTCCTTGCTCCTAGCAGCGATGCCCTTTGTTACTAGTAGCTTCTTGCTCCTCAGGTGTCGTCCAGATCTCACACACTCCTCACTCTTTGTGTTGAATGCTCAGTGCCTCTTGAGGCCAGGTGTTGCCTTTCCAAACAATGATGTCAACAAAGCATACTACATAACATACAAACAAATATATATATATATGTTTGTACATGTAGTTCATTTGTGCAGGATGTGACTGATGATGATGATGATGATGGGCAGTCCGTGACGAGAATTGGACGGTTGGTCATTGTGGACTTAGCAGGAAATGAGCGATTGGAGGCTGCAGCGAGTGGGAGCAGCATCTGCGCAGCTCCTTGAATTGCCTCGTGCAAGGCCGGCACAGAATATGTTGCAGAATCCAGCAGCATCAACAAGTCGCTCTTTTTCTTGGGCAAGGCCACAGTCGTCAATGCTAGGGTATTCGATCGTGTTTTACGTTTAATTTATCTCCAGGTCATTGAAAAGCTTGCTGCGAGAGACAAGAGGACTTCAGTTGCACAGGGCTTGGTGGCTCAAGAGGTGCAGGGCGTGGAAGTTCAAGGATAAGAACTTAATCGATTTGTATCCGATTGCAAACAGTTGATATAAACATAATTTTATAACACTTGTGACAAGTTTGCAGATGAGGCTCCAGAGGATGGCGAGCACATCCCGTTTCGAGATTCCAAGCGCCGCCCTTTTCGAGATTCCTGTGGCTGTTTTGGAGATTGAAGACAGCTGAGGCTTACCCGCTTGCTTTCGGTCCACCTCAATGGAAACTCTCAGACTGGCTTGTTGGCCGGGCGACTCAAGCGGCGGACAAGAGGGACGGAGACTTGAATTGAAGTTGTGTTTGATTTTCCTCAACTAGAGGTGACATTGACCCCATCAGAAGATGCCGTTGAGCAAAGCCTCACAACTCTACGCTTCGCGCAAAAGGCAGGTGTTCTCGTAGACTGTTCCTGGTGAATGGACTTCTGGACGGATGATAAAAACTCTTTGGTCGAGTAAAGGCTGCCGAAGTCCGCTGCGTGGCAAAGCCTGTCCTCATCAGCAAGGACATTGTTAGGCTACGAGCCACTAGGGACTTTCAAATCCAAAGTGGAGACATCTTGAATCCCATAACAATTACAACTGTCAGACATTGCACGAGCTCTTGTCACGATCAGTCCTCAAGGAGCAATCCCTAATCGTGAAGCAGAGGGAGATCATCAGCCAATTGCACAACCAGGCATACCAACACCTGAAACATCAGAGCGCAGCTTACAAAGTGTCTTTTGTTGCTCAAAAGTTGTGCATTGGTTCGCCAAGATAGACTGACATAATCTGGAAGCCATGAGTGAGATGCACCAGGTGCGAAGTTTGCAGGAAGAAGTGCAGAGGTCCACGATGCAACGTACGAATGAGGCTGGGCAATTTTGGAGATGGGAGTGATTGATGTGAATTCGCATTTTACCTCAGGAAGAGTTGGCAGCTGAACGAGAACAGTGTGCTCAACAGCTCCAGGCTGACACACTTGCTCCATTTTTGGTCGCTTCTTGCAACATGTCAGGCGTTGGTGCTCAGCTCATCCAAGCATGGTCAAAGCTTCATTTCCAAGAGCCGAGAGGCAGACATGACGGTCAAGCGACTGTTGCAGGTAGAGTAATATTCTCCGGCAAGCTGGGGGTAGAAGTTTCAAAGCAGCCGGCAGCGTCTATGTCTTCTTGTGTTCTGTTTCATTTTCTATGTTGCTTGCCCCCTATTATGTTCCTGCAGCTTGTCTACTCGTCTACTGTTCTCCCCATCCTCCCATCTTGCCCATCAAAGCCCTCAGTTGAGAGCTGTTCTCTCCTTCTACCAAGTGCTCACGACTCTTCACTAGCTCAATGCAGACGCTTGTAGGAAAATGCAAGTGCTCTCCGCGCAAGAGGTCTAAGCACAGACATCCCCAAACAACTCTCCTCACATCCGCTCTGACTTGTCCCACTCTGACACACATTTTGAAGCCCACCAAGTATTTCTATAAGATCCCCACTTTTGTATCAGTTGTTTACATTATTAGTTTTTCATATATATATATACACATATTTTTAAAGAATCTATGGTCTACGGTGCTTTTTTGAATTAATCTAGCCTATTGATCCCGTAATGTCATCCCGCAATGCCGGCGATGCACAAATTATTTTTATACATCACCTGCACTCGGCTTGACTGCCAAATGCATCTAGTCATGTACTGAAGTGCCCCGGGGTGTGACTCCAAAAGACATCAAGCAATGAATAATTGACAAAGCAGCCATTGCTCCGGTCAACCTCTATCTTCAATGAGCGAGCAAGCGCGGGCATGAGCTCCGTCAAACATTTGCTCAGCATGGTGATGCTTTAGAATTGAACTCTCAGTTCATAGCCTTGGAATGCGCATGGCCATATCATGAGATTTCGAGTTTAACTTTTGCCTAAACGAGTGCGTCTACAACCATGCCCAAGAAACATGCCATTTGTGCCACAACACAGCCGCTCGGGTGGATACCCCCTTAACTTTGCTTGTTGGCCATCAAACTCGATACTCACTAGTTCTTTTCAACATCCTTTGATGCCTGCAGAACATGGTCTAAATTGTTCCGCTTGAACCTGTAGGTCGACACCGTGGTCACTGCCCTGCACCGGAACATGGACGTGCTGAAGAAGCAGAAGGCTACTGTGGTGGAGAGCATGAAGGGTCTCTACCAGACGATTCATGGCATCACGGCCGCTGTGGCACAAGCTTCCGAGGTTCTCAGTGCAACAGGCGACTCGGAGGTTGCCAAAGAACTCTTGCGCAGCGCCTGTCCACTGGAGGAAAGTGGCAAAGAAAACCAAAATGTTTGGGTTCCAGCAATTCTTGAACTCAGGGAGAAATTGGAACTGCTGGTTGATGCTGGTCGTTCCAGATGACTTACAAAAGGAGGAGAAGCTGCAGAACACTTGGTGCAAGATGTGCCTGAAGAAAGGCATTTGATTCATTTGATGTTGGACAAGCTGGAGAGACCAAGATAGATCATTCGAAGGCAGGATGCCACGACAGATGAGTTTGGACTACTCCCTGACATCAGTGCAGCAAGGAGCTTCAAGGACGTATGGGGCAAAGTCAACCGATCCAGAGATGTGGACAGCTGAGAAGGCTTGGCTCTCTGAGATGTGAAAGCTGCCACACTGCAGCCAATTGAAGCGAGTGCCGACGTTGGAACTCTAGCTCTGGATATGACGCCTGTTAAATCGTTGCGACTGCCATAAAATGTCCGCAGTTGTTTACATTTCCATTTCAAGATCAGAATTTGTTTGTAAGACAAGCTTCTTTAAGCATCTCAACCAAAGTTGTTGTTTTGTTCAACGTTTTGTGAAAGAGGAGTGGAATGCCTTGCGATATGCCGAGCTACAAGAGGAGATCCGAAAAGTAGAACAACCCGTCTCAAACAAAATGCAATTTGGACCAGAATCAGAGTTTCTGGCAGGAGATGCAGCAGGCGCAGCAGGACCTGGCAGCAATGGAGCAGCAAGAAATAGCTGCGTTGCTCACCCGGCATGATTCAATGTAGAGATTGCGTGGCCGCTGTACTGCGTAGCCACCCAAATGCTTTAGCTATTAGCAGCTAAGCCGGAAGATAACTTACTTCCCCAGTGATAAACCTGCTTTGCTATGCAGGTCAAGGCTCCAGAGGTCTCAAAGCGTACGGGAGAGTGTGGCCTCGCACAGAACTTCCGAGGCGCAGATCGCAAGGGTGGGAGAGGTCAACAAGTGATTGTTTTGACAATAACATGTCATGTCATGTCATGTCCTTTTGCGATAACATGGCACAGGTGGCTCCCCGTCCCTTCCTCAGAAGATTGTACCTGCACGGCTGCTGACAAAAAGTCCTATACTGTAGTTGGCTTATTCAGAGACAACAATCCAAGTAGTAGGTTGGAGGCCATTCCTATTAGGTTGGAGGCCATCGCTACTAGGTTGGAGGCCATGGCTATTAGGTTGGAAACCATAGCTTCTAGGTTGGAGGCCATTGCTATTTTAGGTTGGAAGCCTCTGCTTTTAGGTTGGAGGCCATCGCTAGCAGGTTGGAGGCCATCGCTAGCAGGTTGGAGGCCAATCGCTAGTA